ATACACTGCTAACCAGAAGGCTGGCAGTTCAAACTCACCAGCCACTCCTGAAAGGAAGATCGGGTCATCTATTTCCACAGAGATACTGCCTCAGAAACCCAAGGAGGGGTTGCTATGAGTTGAATCGACTTGACGGCAGTGAGTTTGTTATTTTGGGTAAACAAACAAAATCTATCTGTACACCTATAACACTAGGTCCACAACTCTTCCCACATTCTATTCTACCTATGCAGAATTCACTGGGAGGTGAGAGAAGGGATCTCTTTGATACTACACAGGCTAGTACTTCCAGTGAGAACAGCCTTGGCATCAAGACTTCAGACATACTCAAATTTCCTCTGCCTGTGGATTCCAGGTTCTCCATGTCCAGCAGAGCTCTTGGGATCCTCATGTTTTGGAAATTACACAAAGCCAGACACTGTCTCTTTAAATAGTAGAGGCTGAGTGCTCTCAGGCCACCATGACATATCCCAGCATTGGACCAGCTCCTGAATAAACTGGAAAGTCGCCTGGCCTGAACTCAGTTAACAGGGGAACATCTTGGGGAGCCTTGTTGGAAGCAGAGGTCTGAGTGGGTGTGCCAGCTGCAGGTACCTCTGCTGCCCTGTGGGGAGGGGTTGCCTTTGTATTCCTTACACTAAGCTACAAAGAGATCCCTGTGGAGGAAGGGGTTACGCTTGCTGTTTCGCCTGGTGAGTTTTATTGGTGAATTGGGCCTCTGAGTGATGTGTGCTTATGAATTACAGAGTTACTCTATTCTCTACCCCTGCAAACTGCAAACAGATTGGGATGCAGTGCAGATGGTCTGTTTGTGTTGTGATAGACCAGAGTCAGAGGATTCCAGATGCATTGTTTAAGAACTCTTAGTTAACAGCTGAGTATATATATTCTCTAACTGGGGAGGCAAGAAGGGAGCTCTCTCCTGAGAGCTTCTAGAAAACCTGACACCTCCAGATTTGAAAGGAGAAAGTTGTCCAGAGACTCTTTCCTTGCTGAGGCACAGAACTCTGTGCACACAGTTGCTCTCTCCTTGGTGGGTAGATTGGGGGAAGCTCCACCTGTAGGGAAAGCCTAGCCAGAGCCCTGGGTGTGGCAGCACTGCAACCAGCAGAATTTGTCTTTCACCACTTGCAGTGAGCTTGGTTTGGAGTTTACTGGGGTTGGAGGCAGCAAGCAGTAGGTAGTGAGGGAATGGATGGTTCACACACAGTAGCTGTGACCTGGGTGGTCAACGAGCAAGGTTTGGGGTCAAAAGAAGCACTTTTTGGTTTATATATCTACTTCATTAAAGAGGTTACTTGAAAAAGGAAGAAGGAAGAGAAGATTCTGAGTTAAATGTGCTAATATTTGTAAAGCACTCAGGACAGTACCTGGAACCGTGATAATATAAATGTTGACTAACTAAATAAGTAAATCTAAATGGCATAAAACAAGACAATAATTTCCAGGGTAAATCTAATCTATAAAATGAGCAGCAGAGGAGAGAAAACACCTCCATTTCTTCAGTTAGTCATTCTACTTGTATATATGCTTTCAACCTATGGCAGTGACACACTGATACTTTATATTTTAGTACAAGTGTGGTGCAGCCTGTCTTGAATGTCTGTTGTGAGGGCTAAATGTGATGATGATGATGATGATGATGATAGTAATAGCTGAATTCACTGGACACTGGGCCCTTAATATGTTCCAGGCACTGCTGATAATTGTACACATTGTGGCCTTAACTAATCCTTTTAAAGTAGACATTATTAGTCCCATTTACATATGAGGAAACTGAGGCAGGGTGAACTTAAGGAACTTACCCACATTCACAAGGAGCACAACCAGGTTTGTCTGAATCCAGACACAGTTCATAACTATTGTACCATACCACCTCTCACAGATCCCTGTGTGGACTGTACCGAGTAAAGTGCCCAGCATATAAAGGACATATGATAAAATTGTGCAAGTATTTTTCTTTTTAATTTGATCATTTAGGAGCTTTAGAAAGACTGAATTGTATTTGAAGAATGTTATAGATAATTTTTAGAGAGTAAGGATATGACAGTTAATATAGCTGCCACTTGGAAACAGTAAAATAATATGGAATTATTGGAATCATTTAGACTGATCAGGTTTTATGACACACAATAAGTACACTAGCAGGTGTACGAGGGAGAGGCAGGGAGAAAGAGAGAGAGAAGGAAAGGAGAGGGAGAGGGAGAAGGAGAGATTTACAGATTTATAGGCAAAGATGACTAACACCCACATTCTTTCGTACTCGGGCTCCCTGTTCCATCTTTGAGGGCCACTGGCCCCAGCGTCTTAGCTAGGAGCAACAGCACCTCACCAGGAAGAGCTAGCTTCTTTCCTTGCAATACTTGGGCGGATCAGCTGATTTTCCTGGCTGCTGTCTCTCCACCTCAAATGGCCAATCCCCTACTCCTTGGCCTGGGAGGCCAGCGGAGCCTGGGACTTAGGCCAGGCTGCTACAGGCAAACTTTCCTGGGAGCTTAGTCGGGTGTGGAAAGGTTTCATCCAGGCTTCCAGGAGCCAGATTCCATGGTACACAGTCTCTGAGTCTGTTGGACTCTCCCTCCTCTTCCATTCGCTGTCACTGAACCAGGGTTGCCATCCTGGTCAGTCCCCATCCATCCCCTGTCACGCAAAGTTCCTAGGTGGAGATAGTGATAGCGCGAGCGGGCGTGGTGCACGTGAGCCTCGATAAGATGCCAGAGCAGGCCAGGGACGCCAGGACTCTAGAGAAGAGGGACTGGAAAACTCTGGCGGCCAGGTGGTACGGGTTGGAGGGACACGGTTTACAGCCCTTAAGCGCCTGCTCCCCTTAACGAGGAAAAGAGGACTCCATCCTCAGTCCCCCGCGTGGGCGCCGTCCGCGTTCTTGTGCCCCGAAACCCTGCACTGCGCACCCGCTGGGGCGACAACTGGCGGGCTTTTTCCACGTGAGCCGGGGGTGGACAGGGACCAATTTATTGGTCCGCACTTGGTCTCCCCGCCCTCTGACTTGGAGGAGTCAGAGTAGGTGGGAGGTAAGAAGGTTCAGCTGCCTGAGTTTCGAGTAAGAGACGCAGCGGTTTTGCTGTGATCGACTTTTTCCTGGGGCGTATTTAAGACCAAATAACTGTCTGCAGTCCTCTCTCTCTCCTTCCCTCTCTTCTCTGGGAGTCCCGCCCTCTCGCACAAGCTGACCCAGGGACACACCCTACTGCAGCGACGCAAACAGGGCGTTGTTCCCGTTAAAGGGGAACGCCGGGAGCCTCCCCCTTGCCCCTTGCATCGCGCGCGCGCAGCCCACAGCGCAGCTGTTTTTGGGGACGCCAACAGAGATCGAACACACCGGAGTTTGTGTCCGAGGCCACTCTGCGGATCAGGGACCGCTATTCGGTTGGGCTGTAAGTGTTTTGGTGGAGGGAGTGGAGGAATTGGAGAAACGTGGGCATCTTCACTTGATGGTGCCAGAAAGCGCAGAGCGGGCGCGGGCCCTGGGCTGGCCAGGTCCCGAGCATTCTGTCAAGGAACGCGGGTATCTCATAAGTTCCTACTGCAAGGAGTGCCTTTGCGGTCTCCAGACCGTTTGGGACTCGGGTGGCTGTGGTAGCAGTGGTGGTGGCGTCGGGACAGAGAATAGAGGCGGTGCATTTTTCACCTCGCTAGAAAGCTGCGTGTGTGAGGGTACATTGGCAAAGCACTACCTGCAGTGGACAGCCTGTGTCGGGAGACTGGGCCCTGTGGTCCCCCAGTTCCTAAACAACAGCCCCAAGCTCCAATCTCTTGCTCTTCCCCCGCACTAGGAGTCAACGGATATAAGTTAAATCCTCTGAGAGACATCAGAGGATTATTTCCTCTTGTATTTTCCAGAGTTTCTTGGGAGTGTGTGTCTGTGTGTGTGTGTGTGTGTGTGTGTGTGTGTGTAGAGGAACGGAGGGGCCTCGGATTGGGTACTTTTAAAACTGACTTAATGAAATATTGTCTCTCTGGCTCCAAGACTCTGGCTTAAAATGGTCCTTAAAGACACAGCTGGTTCTTCATACTCCTACAGAGCCTCTAACTAGTCACCCCGGTTTCAGTTCACCAAAGTTCGTAAAATTAGGGCTTTAGGTCTTCTGATAGAAGACTTCCTGCAGGTTCTAACTGGCTGCAATTTTCCTCAGACTCAACTCTTCACCCTCCGCCTACTCTCTCGGTTAGACATCTGCTCCCCTCCACCCAGCCTGGAACCAAGGCAGAACCAAGGCCGCTGCTGGTTGTCTCTCCACACCCTGGGCGCCGCCGGGCCCCAGGGGGAAAGCGCTTAGCTAAAGGGGGAAGCAGAACGGCCCCTCCTAGAGCGCTGCCTGGAGACGCGCGAGCGGTGGGCGGGGAGCGCGGGCCGGGCAGCCCTCCCGGGCGGTTCCTTCTTCTCCTCACTACCCTCGGCTCAGCAGCGTCTCCCCGGAGTAGGAGCCGCCAGGGTGTACTCCAGCTGAACTGGGGCTAGTACGACTCCCCTCAGCTGGCAGAACTGGGTGGAAATTTGGATACTAACGGAATATGGAGCGCGCTATGGTCTAGGAAGCCATTCTCCCAGCTGCGCTCTCTCCCGTATTGCGCCGCTGGTGTCCCCAAGCCTGCTTCTCCACTTGCAGACATCCGGGTGCCAACCCCTTCACCTCGTCCCCTCCCCTTTGGGAAACTCGATCCCCCGAACCCAGTCTCCAAGAACCTGCGCACTCCTCCGGCTGCCCCCTTTCCAAAGTCTGGCTGCCCTCCAGAGGCGCACGGGGCGTCTCTTGTCGTTCTGGAAAGTCCTCTACGTCTGGAGTGACTTGGACGTGCGCGTACTGCTTGTTTTGTTCCAAATGCAAAGACTTTGGGTCGCTGCCCAGGCCGGCCCGGACGGGTTCCTGCGGTCGGCTACTGCCCCCTCTCGGCGGGCGGTCGACAGGCGCCTGGCCTCACACTCGGTTTTCCGTCTCTCCCGGGAGCAGATCCTCCGCTGAGCAGAACTTTCCGCCAGAATGCTCCTCCTGTTGCTGGGCATCATCATCCTCCACGTCGCAGTGCTGGTGCTGCTTTTCGTCTCCACGATCGTCAGCGTGAGTGTCAGATGGGCGGTGGGACGGGCGGGGCACCTCTGCGCTGGACCGGGATGAGACTTAGAGGGCCAGAGCGACCAACCATCCCTTCCACTTGGTTTCTTGCTTGCGCTCCCCCTTCTTTGTTGTTGTTGTTGTTGTTATGTGCCGTCGAGTCGGCCCCCTGCTTTAGGACTGTGTTATTTGCCTACAAAGTTGAGTATCCAGCGTTCCAGGGCGTTTGCAGTTTCTGGCAAGCTGCCCTTTTTTAGTTGTTTTGAGAAAACCGGAGCCAATTCAAGGTGGAAAGGAAGCTAGCGCTGGGCTAGTTTAGCAGGCCTGTGTTTATTAAACTGGATAATTGCAGCGCACCTTCAGGGTACTCTGACTTCACTGGGTAAGATTGTTCAGGATTTTCTTGATGCAGGTTTGTTGAGGAAGGAAGTGAAATGTTTGTGAAACTTTGTTTTTATCTTCCTCAGATATCGAAGACCAGAAGGGTGGCTTAGTTTATAAAATGTCTATTAGCACTTGAAACTGGAAAGTTAAAATTGGCTTTTTGAGAAAGAGTTCAGGGTACCAGGCGTATTTTGTCATGTGGACACAATACCTTGTTAATAAAGCCTCCACTAATATGAGCAGGACACCAGAATAACTTTTGATACAAAACTATCAGATATGAAGCATTCAGTTTTAAACTTACTCTTTTTGGTGATGAAGAGTGCAGATTCAGGGAGGGACATTGCAGCGGCTTTCACATCTTAACTTCAGGCCAGACCTTACATTGTTGTCCATTTAAAAGATTGAAAAATAATTATGTCAGAGTGAGAAATAATTATGTTGGGGGTTTATGAATTCACAACATCTTAATTGTGCCCAATGATAATCAGATCAGATTCATAGTATTGTAAGCAAGGAAATGGGGTCAGAGAGGTGGTGGCTTGGGGAATGATTCCTAGGGAATAAAGAGTAGAAAAGTCTTGGGTGCGCATGTCCTGATTTGAGACCATATAATAGCTCCATCTACTACAATACTGGCCTCTGCACACAATAGCAAGGCATGTGTGTATGGAGCACTTTTCCATTTACAAAGTGCTTTTCACTTACAAAGTGTTGAACTGCCCCCTCAGCACCATGTCTGGGCCAGGCTGCCACTTCTCTTTCTCTGACACAACTGTGGGGAGTGGCCTCTGTCCTTCCAACCTTGGGCAGGGGCTGGCCAGGTTGACTTGTGGATGAAGCTGCCCTTTGTCTTCTTTTAGTCATCTTTCCCCTCCCCTTGCTTCCCGTCCCTTATTACTGCCTCCCCTGATTCAGGATGTCTGATTCTTTCTAGCAATGGCTCGTGGGTCATGGATATGCAACCGACCTCTGGCAGAACTGTAGTGCTTCTTCCACAGGCAACATCCACCACTGTTTCATGTCATCAGCAAATGGTGAGATTGACATGTTCTTCCACAAGCTTGTCCTCGTCTATCTGTAACATGTTCTCAGTGCAGACCTGGAAGCACTTCTTCTTGGAAGAAGCTAGGAAGCTCTTGCTGGGTGAGGCGAGGTGAAGTGAAATGCGGCAGGAAACCATGAATCCAAGCCTTACTGAGGAAGCTACGATCCAGGGTGCCAGTGTGCATTCTCCCACCTAGAGAAATTCTCTGCACCTCTTCTTGATCATTCAGTATAGTTTTATTTATTTATTTGGTGAGTAAAGAGATGTGGACAAAGACAAAGAGTAAAGGTGGTGTAATGACTAAACTTTAGGTAGACTCTACTAGGATTTTTGATACAAACTTCCTCTTTGGTTGGTGGCTGTCTCTGTTTTAAAAAAATATTTCCTCTTCCTACTACAGTGAAGTGGGATTGTCCCAAGGATGGCTGGGTTTGCTTTTAGTCCTTTACTTAACAGAAAAATTTTGAGTGCCTCCTTGTTGCAAAATGGAGCCTTGAAACTATTTGCAAAGCCCCAAACTGAGCCTGGTAACCCTTGGTGGTGCAAGGTTGGAGATTTGAGTCTATGCAGAGGTGTTTCAGAAGAAAGACCTGATGCTCTCCTGAAAAATCCTAGAGCCATTGAAAACTCTATGGAGCATGGTTCTACTCTGACGCACATGGCATCACTATAAGTCCGAATAGACTCCCCAGCAACTAATTTATTCTTTTAAATGATCTTGGAAGTTCTTCATCTAGGAGATTCTATATCTCCTCTGTCCTTAGCACCTTTGCTGTAAGATACTGGAATGCAGGCTTAATTGGTATCATGTTTTTTTTTTTTTTTTTCTTTATTGTGATATAGGTGAAAGTTTACAGAAGAAATGCATTTTCCATTTATAAGTTCTTACACATTTTGTTTTATGACATTGATTACAATCCCCATAATAGAATAGCTCTCTCCCCACTTAAATTGGTACCAGTTTAAGGGAAGAGTTGGCAAGGAAGGTACTCACTCACCAGACTGCAAGCACTCAGAGGTATGGGTGCTCACCAGGGGGCCTGGTGTCTAAATATGAGATGCTATTTTAGGGGCTGGGAGGGACTTGTGGTGATGTCGACCCTGGAAGGGACCACAGTGATTGATGTTGAGGACACAGTGAGCATGGTCTTGTGTTCCAAAGGATGTATCCTCAGCTGGGAGAGGAAAGTAGCTGTAGCTATGTAGATATGGTAGAGCTTGGTGTCCTGCATTTAAAAGGCCATAAAGTATAGCTTTAAATGTTGTTGCAGGTACTCAGAAATCTAATATCTGGGAAGATGCTCCACCTTATGAGAGAAACTAGTTTAGCTTCAGCTCACTTTAAGTCATTTTGAGAGTCAGGCTTTGCACAGTTAAGTCTTTGCTGGATTTTTCCTCCTGTAGGCCCTGTACCCAGTAGTACCAAGCATGACACTGAAGCATTACAAACCAAATATCTTGAACGTCAGTATAAACAGAAAGTGCTGAAATAGCCATTTGGCGGTTTATGTGGGCAGGATAGTTAAGGAATATTTTTTCCTTGCCTCAGTGGAATAGAAAACCTTGCTTTATGCTTCTACTTTCCAGAAAAGAGAGAGAGAGAGAGGAACCGCCCACCCCTACTGATGTGATGTGAGCAGTCCTTATCTTTTCTCTGAGTATGTGGAGAGTATTGAATGAAAACCATCCTCAGAGTTGTTTGGTAATTTAACTTTGTGTAATAATGAGTTGGCAACAAAGTAAATGAAATACTCTTGAACACCTGAGATGTGACCATCCATTGCTTCTCAAAGCCACAGTATCAGGTTTCTTCCCCTCAGGATCTGGCTGAAGTTCCCTGGAGTCTCATGATGGCAGCCTCCCTACTTACCACTGTTACCTGGTGATCACAAGTGGGGACACAGCCAGAAACAGGCAGTGTTTCCCTGAGTCAAAAGCCAAACTCACTGCCGTTGAGTCGATTCCAACTCAAAGCGACTCCCAGTGGGTTTCTAAGGCTGTAAATCTTTATGGAAGTAGATTTTCCCATCTTCCTTCCCTGGAGCAGCAGGTGGGTTTGAATTGCTACTGTCTGGTTAGCGGCCAAATGGCTTATCCACTATGCCACCAGAGCTCCTTGTTTCCTTAAGTCAGGTGGTGTCTAATGGCACTGTTTCCAAGTGGCATTTGGCCACGTGGGGCTGGCCCTGAGTTCTGGATTGTCAGTCCCAGAAGGGGGTGGCTTTGGCAGGCATGTTGAAACCCGGCTGTGTTTAAGCAGAAGAAAGTCCGCAGAGGACCAGCATCTAAGTTGTCCTCAAAACTGCTACAAGGAGGGAAAGTGATGCTTGCCTTTTGGCCTGTGATGCATGCTGCATCTTCTGTGGTTGCGGATAGCTGTTAATCTGCCCTAGAAGCAGTTCTCAAAGAGGCAATAAAGCCCCGCCACCACACTCAAAAAAGCAAAACAAAACAAAAACATCAGCTGCTGACTCATGGTGTGCCATATGTGTCAGAGTAGAACTGTGATCCATCATATTTTCAATGGCTGATTTTTTTGCGACTAGATCACCAGGCCTTTCTTTAAGGTGCTTCTGAGTGGACTTGAATTGCCAACCTTTGGGTTAGCAGCTGAACCCATTAACCATTGTACTACCCAAGGACTCCAAAGAGGCACTAACACACACACACACACACACGAATGCATTGTGGTGGAGCTGATTCTGACTCATGGTAACCCCACGTGTTGCAGAGTAGATTGTGCTCCCTAGGGTTTGCTTGGCTGTGATCTTTATGGAAGCACTTCTTTAGGCATTTTTTCAACAGAGCCTTTAGGTTAGCAGGCAATTGCAAACTGTCTGTGTCACACAGAGACCTTAAAGAGATGCTAGTTGTTGTATACTATTGAGTTGGTTTCAACTCATAGCGGTTATACATAGACAGAGTAGAACTGCCCCATAAGGTTTTCTTGGCCGTAATGTCTACAGAAGCAGATTGCCAGGTCTTTTCTCCAACAGAGCTGCGGGTGGGTTCCAACTGCCCACCTTTTGGTTAGCAGCTGAGTGCTTAACCATTGTGCCCCCAAGGCTCCTTTCTATCAAAATTGACTTGACAGCACCAAATAGCAAGTGTAATTTTAATCATTAAACTTTATCATTCAACTTGCTCCTTATGTCCCTGCTGTCTTGGGTTCACTTAGAGTGACTTCAGGGGCCTTTAGAGTGGGTTCTAAATCCTGCTCGTTGTGAAAATTCTAGAGCATACATGCTTTTCCACATCAGTCTTCTCAACTTTCAGAAAAGGGGCATTTTGAGGAAATCTGGACATACCCTTCAACACTTTGGGTTTGTTTTCATTTAGGCTGATTGTAAATTATAAATTTCCATTTGTCCCTCCCCACTAGTAGTTACCATCTCTGCTGGCATCTTTCCAAGAGGTTGGTGTGTCTCTGATGAAGTACTGGATCCTGTGTGAATCCTTTGTCTGGGCTGTTTTTAGCAACTCCTGTGACAGCTATTATGGTGAAAAAAGTATTAAAAGAGACAATGTCTTTACAAATGAACTCTTCTAGTTACATACCATTTACCTTGTTTGTGTTGGCTCTTAAAATGTTTGAAACATAATTTTATTTTAAAGAATCAGAAGTAATTTATTGTTGATACTGATTGGTGAGGAGTGCATTGCAAATGTGTTATGTGAAAGATGCGTTGGTTTACATTACTTGCAATTGTTTATGAAGGTATTCGTTTTTGTTTGTGTGGGGATGCTGCACTGCACCTCCACATTATTTTCTGTAGGAAGGGTGCACCCTGCCATTGTATAGCTTGTCAATCAGTCTAAACGCCCCCCCCCCAAAAAAAAAAAAAAACCACAAACATACTGCCTTGGAGTTGGATCCGACTCATAGCGCTCCCTCCTTGGGTTTCCGAGGCAGTATCACTACAGACTTAGATTGCCCAGCCTTTCTTCCGAGGAGTGGCTAGTGGGTTTAAACTGCCAGCCTTCTGGTTAGCAGTCAGATGTCTTAGGCACTATGCCACCAGAGCTCTAAGAACCTCAAATGTCTGTTAGTTTGAAGGAGACATACTAGATTTTGCCTGCCTTTTCATTTTCTAAATTCATTTCTGATCACCTCCCTATTCTGGCTGTGGACTGAGATGAAAGTGTCTTGGCAGGGGCATATTTCATCATGATCTTTTATTGAATATCTTTTGGACCCTGGGAGTACAAGGACCCTGCCCTTGATGGTCCCAAGTCTCAATGAGAGGTCAGGAGATCACTGTGGAGGGATGAATCATTGTTAAGGCAGTGTAGGCCAGGGGCCCAATAAGTGGGGCAGGCAGGCAGGCAGTGTTCCAGAGTCCAGGGGAGGAAATAGAATGGAAGTTTTGTGTGGGCGGTGGAATTTGACCCATCCTCCAGAGGATGTGCAGGATTTAAATAAATACAGGCAAGGAGAAGGATACCCCGTCATCAGTGATGTGACCTAAAGCAAAAGAAAAGCACAAGGACTTATGGACCAGTTGATTGGTGTTTATTTAGCATTAGGATAATGGCACTGGCTTGACCAAGACAGTTTATTTCTCTCCAATTTAAAAGAAACCTGGAAGAAGGCAGCCAAGGATAGACAGGTGGTTCCATGAAATTAACAGAGAACCAGGCACTCTCTAGCTCATTGTTATTAATTGCCATCTCTTGAGATATGCCCTATCCTCGTGGACCACAAGGCTGCTAGAGTTCCATTCATCTCATCCACATTCTAGGCAGTAGAGTGGAAAAGAAAGAGGGGAAGAATTTGTCCCCTTCCCTGTTAATGAGTCTTCCCCAGATGAACCATACACTGCTGCTTCAATCTTTTAGCTGGAGCTTAGTCACATGGCCACATCTAGTTATAAAGAGGCTGAGACCCAATAGGAAACATGCTTTCTCACCCCTTCATACCTAATTAGACCCTTTATAGCAGCCCCACTGGGCCCTATACACTTTTGGAGCAGGGCCCAGGTATTTTAG